AGCCTAACCTAATTCCAAGAAGTGGCATACCAGAACTTATAATCTTTAGTTCGCATGAGTTTTTTAACATTATCATTATTAATTTTGAAATATTTTGGGCATACATGATTCGTTTGTAGGTATTTCCTGGGATTCTCGCAAAATTTAATGGCACAATTGATTAAAACAATATATTGAGTTTTTGTAGTAGATATTATATAATTTGAAGTTTTGTGTGGAATTTATTTGTAACTCGGTATATAAAAGTGCATAGGTGTAAATAATAAAATTGGTAAGTAGAAAGTAGTGAAAATAGTAAGTCATGAAATTTAATGAAATAATCAGGTTAATCTTCCTCTTGAAGATGATCACTTGGTGATCAAAACACGTGTCGAAATAACGGTTTGGTGTTGGAAAAAACTCCAGTAATATTCATGTAATTAAAGTTGTAATAAAGAATTATTCCAAGATGGAGGTACTGTACAAATCGTGAATTAAAAGGAATGTGAAAAAAACTAATGACGTTAATTTGAATTTTCAAATTTATCTCTCGTCTTAGTGAAGTAATTAAATTTCTGGTGGTGAAATTTGATAAAAGTTATTAGCAAATATTTCTTCTACAACCCATCATCCTTTTGGTCTACTTCATTATAGGATTGCTCACATTTTTACTACAGTGAATATCTGTAAAAATGTTACAATACCGTTTGAAAAAATAATAATAATTCATTCACAAGTGTTAAAAATTTTGGATTTTATTTTAAATAGATAAAATAATTCTATATACATATATCTATATAAAAATTAAATATGATATGCAAAAATAAATATTACTTATATCAAGTCCTGCCTCAACCATTAAGGCAACAAACCAGTGACAGTGAAAACATGATGTATATATTATATAAAGCCTAGTATCAACTACCATTGGAAACTAAACACAAAAAAATGCATGGCATAAATAAATTACGAAAAAAATAATAATGAAACAATAATGTTAAAAATTCCTGAAAATTTAATGTTTTTCTCTATAATGAAACAACGTTTGTAAAAACTCAACAATTTCAATAATTAGCTCATATGCCGTTTTCAAATTGTTCCATATCCAACTTGAGGAATTTTAAATTCCAAATCTGTTATTGAGATGATTTTTGCTTTTAGTTAAACAGTACTGTCAATAAAATGAACACCACTCAGAATGAAAAATAAGAAATACTCTCATGAACATTTTCAGCAGAACAAACTGAACTGAAAATTAATAATGCCCTTCCACTACAAGTTAAGGGCGCGTACTGTTTCATGAAGCAATTGTTTTCCATCTTATCACATTCCATTCAAATTACACGGCAACTACTACAAAATGAAGATACAATAATCACTTATTCAAAATTGTATGAATACCTTGTTCTCATTGTCCTTAGAGTTCAATTTCAGTTAAAGTTGCAGTGCACTTTGTTGGAATACATCAAGACCGGCAGTGATGATATTGAACTATATGAAACAGTATTTTAGCCTTTACTTCATTAGCCGGAAACTGTTAATTGGAAAATTATCAAGTCATGTTGCAATCACAATTTATATAATCTGAATACATAATTTGTTTCTAGTTTAGATGGAAATCTGTCATATTTTGCAAAATATATTATGAAAGGTGTCAATCACATGATAAAATTCTTCATTTGATTACACAGGCCAATATTTTTCATGAATGAAGACTAGATCCGGAAGCTTTGATGTGCTGAATCAGTTTCCTACCTCGGAATCTCTTAATCACACCAGAATTTAGAAAATTTATAATCTAGACCTTTTTACAAAAAATCATTTACGCATATAAAGAACAACTCTTTCCAATAAAAGGTAAAAATGGAACGCTCTGGCATAGAATAAATCCAAAACAAGCACTTTTCCCAATCACCAGAAATGCAATACTCCCCTCGTGGCGCGTTTCACCAGACAAGTTGGCGTCTTCATGAGATGAAGTTAGCATCTTTCGAAAATGGCAAATTGGTTGGCCAAACGCGCCTCAAGAATAATATATTGCATTTCTGGTGATTGGAAAAAAGTGCTTGTTTTGGATTTACAACTCTTTCTTCTTTCAACTCATTTTGAATTTTTACATATGTGGTATTTTCTTTCAGAGATATAGTCAATTGAAATTTGTCGAATACATTTTTATAAATCGTTGAATGTCAGATACTATAATCTCAAACCTCCTAACGCTATAACATAATGATGCTTAACCTCATACCATAATGGTTTGAATTTATTTTGAGGAATTTGAGATCGCGTTCAGCCCTCTTACCCTTCAGTTCTGCTCTATTAATTTCATAAATGAATATAGGAAAGGTTTCACCAGTATTTAAAAGTATCAAAAAGGGTTGCTCGAACATTTATAGGCAAATTTTGATATTCGGGTAAAAATGTATTTCAAAAAGCACGGAATACAGAATTGGTTACCTTGGAAATCATTACAGTCAACAGACGAAAGCAAAATATGCTGCTGAGTATCTTTAGACTTGTGTAAAGCATTTGATACAGTCAATCATAAAATTTTAGTAAAAAAATTATTCAACTTCAGTGTCAGGGGAAAATTTTTGGAATTGGTTAAAAATTATTTGAAAAACAGAAAAAAATTGGTGGGTAGTTAAAGCTTGACACAATATATTACTTGAAGTGTGTATTAGGCCCAAACTTTTTTATTTTATATGAACTCAATATCAAATTTCAAAACTAGGGGACAGGTCAACCTTGGTGCTGATGATACAACCTTATATAAAAAAAAAGATTAATGTCATATATGAATATGTTCAAAAAGATCTAACTATAACATCAATGTGATTTCCGACACATACACTAACATTGAATTTTGATAAATCATCATTTATGTATACTCACAGAAGTAAAATCAATAATGTTACATCTCACTTTCTTTTTATGAGAAAATAATTTCCTATAACTTCCTGATGCTTCAATAACCAATATCATTATTATCATTATTTTGTACAAAATCAATATATATTTAAATCTGTGTATGTATATATGTATATTTTGCTGGAGTTTATTGTTGTTTATTAATTACTACATTTCCTGTTATAAATATTATTGCTTCTTGGGAAAAAAATGTTATCATTATTTGTTTAGATTCAATTACCTAATTCCCATTTGTGGTGTTACCACCAAAATACTTCGAAACCTTTACAAAACATTGCAAAATAGGGTAATCGAAATGTCTATAATTATAATAAAGAAATAAACTGTTTCAATATAAACCAATCCAACAAATCATTACTGAATAAAAAAATACAAAATTCATAGTGAAATTCAAAAACAAATATAAAATATTTTTTAGGAAGTTACCCGAAGATTACCGGGACCGGACGAAGGTTGACGAAGTTCACGCGAGCCAGCCGGCTCGGAATCGGTGTGTCACATCGCGGGCGCGTGTTTATATTGTTTTTGCATTTATTATTATTCATATTCTGAAAGTTTTTTGTAGGATAGTGCTTCATTGAATGCTAGTAAATGGCTGTAAAAATGAGCATTAACTTTAACATTGAGTATATTAATAATAATAAAACTTTTCAAAATAAAATAAGACATTAAAGCGGCTCTTAATTTAAAACAAGAGTGTATATCGAAAAACAAATCATTTACAGGAAGTTTTTGAACTGATATCTACAATCAAAAGAAATGATTATGTGGATGTGAGCATTTAAATACATTCTTTTGTTGTTCCTTGTATTATTTTTGGACAGAAACAAGAATCGACGATTTGACGCATTTGAGCAAAAAAAAAACATGATTCGTTGCAAGTACACCTACAAAATGTAAGGAGTTTGTTTGTATTGGGCTCCCTCGACATTTGTGTTCAATTAGATTCTGTATATAGAACAAATGTTCAAAAATTTAATGAACGAATTGACAAGAATAGGTATATATTATCACCCTTTATTGAATGCTTCAAGTTTTGAAGTGTATTTGAATTGACTTTGCGAATGTTGTTGAATTCCGTGGGCTAATCGATTTTGTGTCCAAGTTGGATATAGTGATGAGAAATCTCGCATCGTCTACAGTGTTCAAAGATACGGCAAAAAGTATTCAAAACGAAATTTTGGAATCCATTTTGTTTGTATACCACGAAGAATTGTTGGAGATTATAAAAAAAATGTGATTACGTCTCACAATTGAAAAGAAATTCATTCAACCAATACCAGACTTCAATAAAAAAATGTGAAATAAATCAGTGAATCGATTTAATATATAAAAAATAAAAAGTAATCAAAGTTCTATACCTATCTTTTTATGTTATTTTTAGTACCTAACTTTTATTATAGCGACTGTTACAATACACACTATGTATAAATACTCTGGAAAGAGCACCATCACTGCCATAACCCACCAGCCACCTCTGTATTTGAATTTCTGAGGTTGCATACAATAAAAATTAAGCTGGCACATTTGAAAGGACTCCTCCATTCAGAAATCATGATCATATATGGTTATTGAAATAACATTTTTTGGGAATACTGGTACGTGCCTATTTATTATCTTGTCTATCCAAATGTTCCCGGTCAATTCCTATTTATATACCTATTAATATTTTCACTTAATAATCTTTATAGTGAAACGTCTTTACTGAAAAGTTTTTTCCTATCTTGGAAAAAAAAACATACTTTTTTGAAATTTTCTGCAGTTGATTCCATTTTTTCTATTCAACATTAAAATAAGAAATGATGCGGAAATTTCAACGTTCTTCACGAGGCAGGATAAAAAATCAGCAGCAAAGTCTAGTCAGAACACAATTATTGTTACAATACCTGTCAATTCACTGGTACCATAACTGTCAATTCATTTTTCAAGTTGAAAATAAAAATAGATTATAACATGACTCGTTTCTGTTTAAATGGCATTTCACAAAGTACTGAATTGAGCTAATAATATATTCACCCAGAAACTCAATAATTATTCAATAATGGATACTCATTAAAACATCAGCATCACCAAGAAGTTATTTAAAAATATGCAAACATACTTCTTTAATTTCCTCAATTGCAACAAGGCTTTGGAGCATAAACAGTGTTAATGCACACTCAGTAAAATATCACTTTTGTTCATCGGGCTTATTTTATAGGAATTAATTCGATATACTATCTAGTCATGCTTAAACTTGTTATAAAATATTCATATATATACTTTCTCCTCAACAACATTCAAGAGTCTTTAGGTAAAATAAAAACTATAATTGTTAATAAAACTTCATCAAAATGAATAGATTTTTGTCCATTTCGAATACCAATACTACTGTCAGCACCAGTCAGCAATGTAGGTGAAATCTCTAAACAAGTTTTGATCTTGGCCAGACAGGTGCCTCGGCTCCTTTGGCGGTGTGAGCTGTGGCCTTTCCGAGGTGAATTCTTCATCGAAATTGCTGACATCTTCCATTGAATTCTAAAAAAAAAAAGATTATAAATGTTCCTTATCGTCAAAAAATATAACTATATCTTAAAAAGACTTGATAGAGACACATCATCACAAGATGTATTAATAATAATGAATATTATGAATACACTGATCCTTTCATTTAAGATATGTTTCGTTACACAGTAGATCAGGTTCAACAGGTACCAGTCCAACTGTAAATAGTATTATGAAAAATGTATAATTATTCGCATGTCAGTCTGAATATTATTGCCTAGGGTAGAGCAAGAGACGTTTCAAGGGTATTTATAGCTCAGAACCGAATTTTACGGCTAATTTTCAACGTTAAATTTCAGAACGATTGTCGACCCATTTTCATCAATCATAAAATCCTAACCGCACCTTCAATTTATATTTTCAAATGTTCGCCAGGCAAAATTTACCTCTTTATTGCTCTAACACATTTGAACATACTCACAATACATACTTCAGTAACCTTTTGAGAATCCCACAACATAGAATGTCACTTATAAAAACTATCTTCGTTATTATAGCATAAAATTTTATAACAAACTGCCAAATGAGGTGAAACATATGAGAAGCGATGAAATCTTCCGAAATTAGGTAAAAATTTTGCTATTAGAGATGTTACTACAGTTACAAAGATTTTCTAGGTGATAAACTTTGTAAATATTAATGATGACATCTGACCAAAACCATACATTTCATATATTCGAATTTGTATATACTTTGAGTCACATGTACCTACTTTATTTATATCTAAGTTAATTGACTATATACTTCATGTGTCCAAAATGGTGAATAAACAATAATACAGAGAGAGAGAGAGAGAGAGAGAGAGAGAGAGCCTCACCACAATACTAGACAGGCTACCCAATTGAATATTCCTATCTCAACAAGTAGTCAAATCAAATAAAGATGGTAAATGCTGGTCCCACCCGGCGTTGCCCGGTGAGATACCATGGCAACGGCTTAGGCAGCGTGAAGTTGCTTTCGGGCTAACATTTCGTTACTGTGCCGCTGTTTCCGGTTTCAAGGGTGGGAATATAAGGAAAAATGCATGATGGCGCTCCTAGGGTCAAAATACTCCGGAGATAAAATAACTCCCCAATTGGATCTCCTGGTGGGGGCTGATTCAAGGGCATCATCCTGCAGAAGTTATTCGAAAACCACTATTTCTGACAGCAGGGTCTTGCTAATATCAGTCCACAGGTAGATAGCATGGCAACTGCAGTTGCTAAGAGGCCCACTAGCAAATTCAACATCGATTTCTGCAACATCAGAGGACTCAACTCAAATATAAACTCAGTGCACCAACATCTGCAATCAAATAGTCCTCATATTCTTGCACTCACAGAAACCAAAGTCAGTGCTTTAACTAACCCCATCAATTTTCTATATCCAGGCTATGATTTCCACTCCTGGATATAATTTCAGGAGAGACAATTCCGCTTTCTGCTTCGATAAGTTTGTTGGGGGTTAAAATGGACACCAATATGTCTTGGCACAATGATGTTGCTGGAATTGCAAAGGCTGCTTCTCAAAAGCTTGGAACACTGTTTCGAACCAGAAAACTGTACCCACCCCAGCAACTTTTGATGCTTTATAAAGCTCAGACTTTTTTTGGAGTATTTTTCTCATGTATGGAGCTCTGCCCCCAAACATACCCTGAAGTTGCTGGATTTCATCCAGAAAAGAGCCATCCGCCTGACTGGAGACGCGAACATCACGTGCAACCTTGATAGTCTGGAACATCAAAGAAAAGTTGGAGATTTGTCTCTCTTCTATAGGTACTTTCACGGGAAGTGTTCAAGTGACTTGGCACATTTGATTCCACCAAGAGCGGTACATATCAGAAATACGCGACGGACTGTGGCTGCTCATCGTTTTGAGGTTCAACTCAGTACACCTCAAACTTCACTGTTTAAGAACTCTCATCTGGAGAACTGCGTTTATGTGGAATAAACTTCCTGAGAACGTTTTTCCAAATGGATTTAATCTCTTCCAATTCAAATCCAATGTGAATAGCTACTTTCGCACAGGCATCGCTCTGAGAGCGCCTTGAAGATTTTCCTATAGTGCTTGTGTTTTGTCCTGTAAAGAAAAGAACTTGTACTTTTTGGCGAGGGCGAGGCGGCTGGTTGTGATTATCCAGTATATAACAATAATAGAATTTGAAGGTTCGGCTAGTTATCATCAATATAAGAAAAATATTTCCATTTGAAGAAATTTATGACTACTGTCACTTTTCGAAATTAGTTAGTCAAATCCAGGAGGAAAACAACATATAATTCCAGTGCTAAGCTGAGTATCCTTAAAATATATCTTTGATACATCAAACACCTAATTTGCTCAGTTTAAACAGAATCTTAAGCTCCAGTGATCCTTTGCCGAATACGATTTTTCAAAGTTCCCGGTAATCCAATTTTCAGAACATGAAGTATCGGAGGCAATTAAATCTTTTCGTTCTGGTTCTGCAGGTGGTTTAGATTCTTTTCGCCCTAGCCACATGCAGGACCTCATTAGTCATAGCTCTGGAAATTCAGGACAGAAACTTCTTTCTTCTGTTACAAAATTATGTAACTTCATGTTAAGGTTTTTCCAGAAATTTATCCTTTACTTTTTGGCGCTTCACTGTGTGCCCTTTGGAAAAAGGATGGAGGATTAGACCGTCGGACCTTTTATCGTCGATTGGTAGGTAAACTTGGTTGTATGAGGATTAAAGAAGAACTAGGATCGATGTTACGTCCACTACAGTTTGGTTTCGGTACTGCAAGTGGATGTGAAGCTATTGCTCATGCTGCTCGTAGATATAATCTTCATCCAAATTCCGAATCAAAAATGTTCCTAAAAATAGATTTCAAAAATACCTTCAACATGATTGATAGAAACATCATGTTTCCTAAGGTTAAAGATTCGTTTCCAGGATTATATTCCTTCTTAAGTCAGTGTTATAAATCAGCCTCCTATTTGAGTTTTGGTGAACATCTGAATCTGAGAGAGGTGTTCAACAAGGATATCCCTTAGGACCTACTCTTTTTTGTCTGAACATCGACGCACTCACTAGAAGTTTATCAATCGCCGGCGATGAAAACATTGTTTCAAAAGATTTAGAAAAAATCATTGATTATTCAAAATACCTTGGACTTGAACTAAGTTTTGATAAATGCGAGTTGATTACTCTTTCAACTCCGACTATTCGAGAAAAACGGGAATCACTTTAATTGCTGACCATCAGATTGAATGAACTTCCTAAATAATAATAATAATAATAATATTTTATTGGTTCTTCTGGATCATAACTCAATGATATAGAACAAGTCAGTGTAATATGATATAAATAAACTTATAAAAAAGAAAAAATTATGTACATATAGGACATGAACAGTTATGTAAAATTATATATTAAAACTTATAACTAGGTAAAATTATAATATATTAACAACCCTAGATGACAATCTCAATTCTTCAGTTATATTGCACGTTGCATTTTTTCTATTGGAAAATTGTTTGGCGATTCCAAGTACGCCCTCAGATGTTTCCCCACTTGGTCAAGTCAGTTAGAGCTTGATGAATTTGATAATTTACTCCATAGCACGACGGAATATGTTACAAACGATTATTTCAATAATGATATGGCTCCAAGCAACGCTTCGTGTAATACTTAGCAGACTAAGGCTACATTCGGTTTCTTCCTTAGCTTTACCAGCTTTTCTGACGTGAGTCAATGGTGTTTCTGATCTTATTGCTTCCATCCTTCCTTCTATATTTCTCAATATCAAAGACGTTTCTATGCCAAAGGTGAATCACGTTGGCATGCCGTAACTAATATTGCTCCTCCTACAGATGAAAAGAAAATACGAAGGGCATGGGACCGACCTCTTCTGAACATTATAAATGACGAACTTCTGAAATCTACAAGTGTATACGATAAGGCTCGTCTGAAAGTAGCAATGACCCAGGAATCGGGTGCTTGGTTGCATCTCTTGGAACACTATTAGATGATGAATCTTTCAGAATCGCAGTAGGACTTAGGATGGGTTTATCGGTTTATCTATTTGTGTGCCTTATACTTATGTTTGCGGTAGTGTAGTTGATGAGAAAGGTACACATGGTTTGAGTTGCAGAAGTGCAGTGTGTACATTTCGACATCACCAGGTGAACAACATATTGAAACAGCCTATGGTGTCAGCGGATGTTCCTGCAATTCTGGAATCCTTAGGTACCAGTCGAGACGATGGAAAACGACCAGATGGTATGTCTCTCATACTATGAAATTACGGTAAACCTGTGGTATGGGACTTCACTTGCGTTGACACGATCGCGGCTTCCCACCTAGCGGAAAGTTCGAAGTCTGCTGGAACTGCAGCATTGTCTGGCGAAAAATATACGCAAAAAAAAACCAAAATCTTGCTAACAACTACCTGTTCCATCCAGTAGCAGTTGAAACTTTTGGTGTTTATGGCTCTGAGTCTCTGTTATTCGTTCATGAACTTGGATGGAGATTAGACCAAGCAACAAAAGGTTACCTTTCTACCTCTTTTATGATAGAAAGAATTAGTATTGCTATTCAACATGGTACTGCTGCTTCGGTCCTTGGAACTCCTTCCTCTTTCACATAATTTTGATGAGATCATGCATTGCCCTCATTTCAGTATGGAACTAAAATCTCTTCAAAAAAGCCGAGATATGTGTATATTCATCAGTCTCCTATCAAGGTTAATTCGCAAGTGATTGATCCACCTTCTTCTTTTTCAGTGCGGTCAATGGACATAGGCCATTCTTGCTCCCCAAATATGAGCTGCAGTCCTCGTGGTTTTGGTTCCCTATGGAACATGTTCTTCCTTACGATTCAGTAGACAGTTGTCCTGAAAATCTTGCGAAGAAAATTGGATTAGATAATTTAGGAAACACTTGCTACGTGAATAGCATTTTATAAGTGTTGTTCATGACAAAGAATTTCAAGAACGAGGTTTTAACGATGAACGAGACTGTTTCCTACTTATTCACCAAACTCAAACACCTGTTCATGCAGCTGCAGTTTCGTAAGACTGTATCATCTTTCCCACCAACCGATTTCCTAGAGTCTTTGAAGTACACTAGATACTCATTAGGACAACAAGAGGATTGTTCCGAATTCTTAGGGTTCTTGTTGAATACTCTTTGTGTGCAGTAAAATAGCAGAATCAATACTCCTGACTGCTCTGGATTGAATGATTCCGTACAGTATATCTCGTCTTGTGTTTGTAGATATTTTGCTGGAAAAATTCTCACTAGTTTACTTTGTAGTCAATCCAGTGAGATCAGTCAATCTAATAATAACACTGATGATCTTCAAACATGAGTCAACCTCTGAGGGAAGCACCAAACTCTTACGAAAGTTCGAAACAGATGAACACTTTAATCTAGCAGACCACTATTTTAATCTTTATACAGTCATTGTTCACTGTGGTTCTGGCGTTGAATTTGGTCATTATTACGCATTGGTCAAAGACGAAACGGACTGGTTCAAGTTTGACGATAGTCGTGTCACCAAATATTCCGGCAATATCTTTAATTTATTGGAGCCTCTGGAGACACCCAACATTTTATTCTATGAAAGAGTGGACATTGGCAGATCAAGATCTTCGGATGATGTGGTGCTGCAGGTTTTTCCGGATTTTCCTGCAACTGAAAAAGCAAATGCGCAATGTTCCTCCTAACGAAAATCAGGTAGTTTTCATAAAAGAGCTCTAAAACAACGCATTTTAAACTCATCATTTCAACCTTTTTCTTTAAAAAATTATTTAAATACTTAAAAAAGAGGAATAAAATATTCAACATTTAAAGGGATATTCGTTTCTATTTCACCATTCGGCTAATAAAGGACAATGAATCTGTTACCTGTATGAGACAAACAAAGACGACATATTTCAGAGCCGTGCTGTTCTGTTTACTTATGTTCCGAGTTCCGAGACATTCTGTGACATATGACATTTCGTGCACCTAACCTATCTTGCTCTATATAAATAAATAACAAAACAACTGTTGTTTATGTGGTTGTGTATTGCTTATGTGCCTTAATTGTTGATTTATAAAGATAATTTTCCTTTTTTTAAGTAGAATATCTAGGTACGTATAAATTATTTCAACTTGATATGGGCGCTGTTTCCAATATGTGAATTTATTTATTTATTTATTTATAAACGGGTTACCCCAATACAGTTAAGAAATAACATATATGTTGCGACATTTAACTTATGCCCTATATCACATTGAAATCACATCAGAATACAAAAACATAATAATATCTGAAATATATAAATATAAAATAATAATGAAATTTCAATTTTACAACATTATCACTAATCATAAATAGAAATCAATTGAACAACAATCTAGCTATTTGTTTTTAAAATCCTTTTAAAAATTAAAACCCAACATTTGAAACACCAATTTGAATACTTTTCGAAGTGAATTTTAAAAACGCATGAATTAAATTCAACTTTATTTTGTTCAAACTTGCATTTGCTGTAATAACCTAAATTGAGGAACATTCCCCATTGGAATTATTCAAGTCGACACGGAGCGCCAATTAATTTTTGTTGTTGTTTCATAATTTCATAATTTGTATTAATTTCTCTTTTTATATATTTCAATTAGAACTCAATTATATACAGTGTCATCCCCAAAGTATGCACCATATGAGAAACTTATTTATTAAGGATTCTTCGACAAAAAGTTATTGCTGATAAAATTTTGGTGCAGTTATTTTATTTTTTGTTAACATTGAAAATTACTCAAAATTATTATACAGTATTGTATCAAGAACTCAATATTCAATAATATCAAATCACAAAACATCAAAATAAAATAGGTATTTCGGAACAAACTCATTAATTTTCTGGAGATTCAACTTAAAACACTTATTTTAGACAAGAAAATCTGATAAAGAGATATTAGCCTTGAAGATAAGCCTCGAAGTGGTCGACCTACACTAATCCAGGACGAGGATTTGAGGTCCCATCACGAACGGTGCGTGGGATGGCGGAAGAATAGGGCGTCAGCTCCAATGCGGTTTTTGATGGTTGAAAACGTATTGGAAAGATCATGAAATTCCAATAGTGGGTGCCCCACGATTTGAATGATCGACAGAAATTGTCCCGTTTCAAAGTTTGTAACTCCTTTGCGCAACCAAAACGATTGTTTCTACATCGGATTGTCAAGTGTGATTAAAAGTGGATCCTCTACGTTAATAGGAGACATTCAGGATAGTGGTTGGACGTCGATGAGCCACCCAGGCACTTCCGAAGACCCACCAAAAAAGACCTTGGTTACTGTATGGTGGTCAGCGTCTGGTGTGATACACTATAACTTTTCTGCAATCGGACCAAACCATCATCATCATCATCCTATTGTGAGGAAATCGATGAAATGTACCGAAAATTGCGTCAGCAGCATCTTGCACTGGTCAATCTAAGGGGTCCGATCGTGCTCCACGACAATGCCTGTCCGCAAGTTTCACAAATCACCTTCTGGAAATTCAGCGAATTGAGCTTCGAAGCTCTGCCTCACCCAACACACTTCCTTGACCCCTCGCCAACCTACTACCAACTTTTCCAGCACTTCGATAACTTTCTCGTCGGTAAAACCTTCGACAATCAGGACCAGGCAAAAACAGCCTTGTCGACTTCATCGAATCCCGAGCTCACAATTTTTGTTCTGATGGAATTAAATGACTTATGTTTCGTTAACAAAAGTACGCTGATTCAAATATCGCCTATTTCGATTAAAATAAATAAGTAATCACCGAGATATTACAGTTTAAAGTAGACTCATAAACCCAATTCCACTGATAATACCACCACTACAAAAGTGGATTCCTCTACTGGATTAGAAGAAGAGGAAATTGAGAATTAATTTGATTTATTTGTCCAAGGTATAAATATGTTCAAAGAGTGTAAATCACATCAAGCTTCTGTTAGAGTATTAAGATGAAGGAGTACAGTTATTAAAAAATGTAAAAATTTCAGATGTTAATGCATTGGACTTTTCAAAATATTCTAATGTACAGGTATAAACAAGGGGTATAAGAAATATTGGTTATTTGAAAGTTTTTCTTTTTTTCTCTCTATAAAAACTTACTAATTCCATTACCCACACTTGGGTATAACACATTTCATTTGTCCCATTTTGACTTTTCCGTTTCTCAAGGAAAAACGTTATAATAATAGAACCTATGATAGCAACACATTTAATACTATGGTAGGTTGGAATGTGTGCTATATTATAGAAGAGAAAATAATTCAACTTACCACTGTTGGTACGAACGGTGGTGGTATCCGTCGATGAAGCAATTCTTCCCATTGTATATGTCTGAAGAATGCCTGTTTCTTCACGTCTTCAGCATCTCGTTCACTTGAACCCAACCTTCTATCAGGACTCTTACGGAGTAACTGTACATACAAAATTATACTATGAGTATGGAATTAGAAAATGCCAAATCATATCTCATTGGGCGATTCAAGGTATATAAGGCGATTAAAGGTGAAGATATATAGTTTAAGTTTATGAAAAATGTATAAAATTGATTATATATCCATGATAAATTATCATGGGCAATAGCAAAATTAATTACTGTTGAATTGAGCCAACCACTTTAGTACACTTTATTCTACAGTGAACTTTCTTATCTCACGATAATTTGGGGAAATGCCTACAACAAGTTGCAACCATTGAAAGTGCTGTGAAATAGAGTCATCAAGAAGATATTTGAACTTCCTGTTCGTTATTCTACAAATGACCTCTACTGAATCCTTGATGTGAAAACTATATAGGCATATCATGTTTGTTCTTTTATTTTATTTATTTATTTATCGGTCAAGTACACTACAGAATTATTATAAAATCCCAAATGGTACGTCAAGAAAGTTTCAATTGTTGAAACCAGTCAAGCATTAGAGTTCAGTTATGAACCCAACAAGTAAAATCCATAATATAACTATTATAATTGCTTAAAAATAAATAAACCTATTTATTTTTTATCAGTCCTATACACCACAAACTATTAATAAAATACCAAATGGAACATAAAAAAAACAAAATATTAAAAAG